CACCTGCCTGTGCACAAAGTTAGTTAGGGCACTTTCGCCACATCATTTGACTGCTGCATTGCACCAAAATCTGCTTCACATCGTTGTGGAGCTCCGGCGCTTGTGTTCAAATGACAGAGTCCGACTGATGCTTTATCTAATGCTGCAGAGCAAAGGTGGTAGAAGCACAATACATCAACCTGCCATGGTCAATAGGGTACTTCACCCAGTCTTAACACATCACTGTATGCTTTCCACCCAAGAGACTTCACACAGAAATGCAGAAGTGTGTTAAGGTTTTCATCTGCTCTTAGACAAAATCATTTCACATTACTGTGTGACTGCAATGTATTGTCTTACTGATATGCGTACTAGAATCTACAAGGAAGTACTTACAATTTGCTTCTAATGCTTCTAATTAAAATAAAAAGAGTGTAGCCAGATAAATTACTCTTTCAGGTTGTTTGCGTTACTAGTATTTTTGTTAAGTAGATGCCAGTGACTGCTCTTTTTCTCGAGGCCAGCATTGAAGTTAAGTTATTCTCACATACCTGGCTTGTCAAACACCACTTGACCATTTGTTCAGTGGGGACTCTATAGCATATAGTGATGCTAAAGTGGCTTTGGAAAGGAAAGTGATGGCCCAGAGGCTTTCTCGTGTTTCTCTTGCAGCAGTGTTTGGGTACAGTGACTGCTGGGTGCTCATATGGCTTGGCCTTGTGGGTTGACAGGTCTTCTGAAATGCCCCACCAGTGTCATAGTACAGAGTCCCCTAAGGAGAGCCAGTCATACTAGCTGACATGTAATCCCAGCCTAGAAACATGAGCCAGAAACAAATCACATTTGACATAAAACAGAGCAGCAAAAGCCACATTTTCAAGGATGTATTGTTTTTGAATGCATAACAGAAATACATATAGTTATGGATATCTTTTCAGAACAATAAAGTTTATTCTGACTTAACAAAAATGTAAACCGCATGTATAAAAACATATACTAAATACAAAGCAAACCTGACATACAGAACAGAAAACAATGCAACAGACGTGGTGCTGAAATGCAATATGCACTCAGCATTGTGAAATTATAATTCTAACATGTTAATGCCAACAAAACAAAACAGGCTTAAAAATAAATTTTTGATCAATCAAATCACAGCCTCTGTCAGTGCGCCCCAGGGCAGCTGTGGCTACAATGTAGTTTGCCATCGCCAGTGTGTGAATGACTGAATGTAGTGTGAAGCGCTTTGGGGTCCTTAGGGACTAGAAAAAGCGCTATACAAATGCAGGCCATTTACCATTTACAGCGCCATGCAAAGAAAGTATCAATAATGCTCAAGATATACATTAATCAGCCACCGCATTAAAGCCACTGACAGGTGCAGTGAATGAAATTGACAGTCTCATTTCAGTGCAGTGTTCTGCAGTGGAAACCTTCAGCTCCTGGATGCATGTAGATGTGCCAAATTCCACTTTGTCATATCCACACCCACTGAAATATTGTCGCAAATCAAGCCCACACCCATACGGCAGTGAGACTCTTTAATGACAGTGGCCTCTGTAAGGAGAGCAGTGCATACCAGCAAACTGCGAAATCTGCTCATAAATGGCTTGAGGAACATCACAAAGAGCCCAAGGCAATTACCTGGTGTTCAAATTCCCCCAGATTTCAGTCCACCCATGACATCCATGATGGAAAAGGCCTGCTGCTAGTAGCCAAGATTCTGACACACAAGGGAGTCATTCCATCTCAAATCATTTTTTTCATATTTTAACAAGCCAATTATCAGATATTTTTTATATATCTGTCCCAAGTTACAAACCCTGATTTATTTTGACGGTAAGAGTGACCAGTGAAAATTGGGCTTTTATCTTTAACAGTTGTTTAGATATTCATTCACATTCAATCTGGCCTCTGGCTATTTTTCAAAAAAGAAAAAAAAATATCTTAAAAACTATTTAATATATGAAAATAAAACGTCACATCAGTCATTTTATATAGTCAAACTTTGGGCCATAACATTTTTATGCAAATTGGAGATGTCCGAGCAATGCTGCATATAAATTTAATAAATTGTTTCACATTTTCTGAAATACGCAATATAGGCAAAAATATTGAGCCACATTTCTTAAGCTTTGAGTTCAGATGTATAAAATTAAGCACCTATGCATGGCTTTGGTTTCAAAAAGCTCACCGAATTTGATTGTGGGATGCTGCCACTCCAACAAGTTAGTTTGTGACATGTCTTGGAAATATTTAGGAATTACATCAACATGGGCATGAAGTAGCAGGTCATGTAAAGTCACCAAGCACAGAGACATGCATAAATTCACCAACACAGCTGATTCACTCCAAAAATTCCTCGGGCATTAACGTCAGCACAACAGCTGTGTGCTGGAAACTTCAACATACTTTCTATGGCCAAGCAAATCCTACAGGTGTAATGTGTATGTGGCTCAGTACTTTGTCATTTAGTGTAAGTGCAGGGACCACAAACACCTAGTTACAGTTTTCTAGCCACTGATGTCAACACATCATACTTCATGAGTTGGTCATTAATTATGTTTAGACTACTGCTGTCATGCAATCAACAAACTAATAATGTGTGAACAGATCATGTCTGAGAACTGAGTACAAAGCACTATACAATATACTCTAGAAATACTTCAAGGACCTGAGTTGTAATTAAATGAAACTCTGACAGCAAGCACACCATTATACTTACTGTATTGCTTATTTGTGCACTTGCTTTGACATTGGTTTCTTGATGGGCTCATACAAATAGCTTTTTTTTTTTGCTATTTAGTTCAAACCATAAATAGGAGCATATTTCAGCCAGACTGAGAGTACAACAGTAGTGTAGGTTTGGGATATTTTGTATTCAGGAATATCAGAAAATTTGTCCAGTAACACTTTTACTTTATATTTTATCCATAGCTAGTCTACTCACTAATATTTATTTTATGCCAGTAGATTTATATTACAGCTATGTTTATGAGCATAACAGAACATGTCTAAGTCACGGTATGTAGAGTTTCTTTAAATCATCAATGCTACTTTCAGCTAACAACTTCAAACCTGCAAAATTTGGCCTCTGTGACTTTTTCTTCCTAGTACATCATTTTCATCTCATTAGTAGACTGAACTTTCTGTCAACATCAGTGGGGAGTGTGGCTGTCTCGGTGTAAAAATGTTCTTTTGGAGTGTGCCAAGAAATACTGCAGGCAGGTATTTGTGACTGGCAGTCTTTAATCAAGCTAAACTTGCTTTTTTCTGTCTGTCCCTGCAGGTTTCCTCTTCTGAGTGGTCACTGGACTTTGAATCTTGCCAGTCTGAGATCAACTGTCTTCTCTTCAACACTGTCTAGTTACTGCAATCCAATGGAATTAGACACCATTACTTAATTGCTAGTCTTCTGGCAGTTGGGTGGTATTTCAGGGGTAATAAATTAGCATAAATCTTGCTCTGTCTGGGAATAGAAGATAGAAAAACAACCAAGTAACTTATATTTATTGCATCTGGTGGAATAAAAGTGGACTAAAGCTGAATTTAGTGCTTGTTACTCTCGTGCCAAGATGGAGGAAACGCATAACAACAGGACTTCCTTGGTCAGAGGTGCCAAGGACATCGCTAAGGAAGCCAAAAGGCAAGCTGCCAAAAATTTCAGCAAAGCTGTTGATCGAGCCTCTGATGAATACTCAGCCCAGCGCAGCTACAATCGTTTTCAAAATGAGGATGAAGAAGAGAACAACTACAACAGTTATACTCAACAAGATGGTCTTTATGCCGACAATGCAAGCAATGAAGAGGACGGGGCCTCTAGTGATGCCACGGAGGGTCACGATGATGAAGATGAGATCTATGAGGGGGAGTACCAAGGAGTGCCTGGATACAATGATGGGAAGCCACGGGATGGTCAGGTTGCTCTGGGCCAGCCAGTGTCTGACAGCCTAAAGAGCCGCAAGGAACTAGAAAATGAGAGACAAGCAGATGAGGAAGAGCTGGCCCAGCAGTACGAGTTGATCATGCAGGAGTGTGGCCATGGGAGATTCCAGTGGCAGCTGTTCTTTGTTCTAGGTCTGGCACTCATGTCCGATGGAGTGGAGGTGTTTGTAGTGGGCTTTGTCCTTCCCAGCGCTGAGACAGACATGTGTGTTCCCAACTCTGGTGCTGGATGGCTTGGTAAGGTTTTTTTCTTTGAAAAAGATGTTATATTAAGAAAAATATTACATTTTTGATATTATTCACTGAATGGTTTTGACGTCCAAAGAGTTTTCCTCGGTCTTCAAAGAAGTCTGCATTTTTACAAAAATTACATTGCAGAGTAAGAATATTACTGTTTCACCACTGATATCACCCTACCATCAATGAGGAACATGAAAAACAGTTACCACAAAATGGAGGTACTCAAATAAAATACATGTAAACATCAAGACTGAGCTTAAATATAGCTACACAATATGGACAAAGGTAATGGACAACTACAAAATGACAACTACAAGAGCTGCTCAGCCATGGAAACCCATGCCATGAAGCTCCGGTCATGCAGTGTTTGTGCTCATGCTAATGCCAGAGGAGGTTTGGGCCAATGCCGTTATTGAGTCAGCAGTGTTTTGAACAGTCGGGTTTACAGGAGCTCTGTTTATGTAGTCTGCCACTTCATGGCTGAGTTGCTGTAGGTGCTTCTCCTTACAGTTGATTGTAGAATATCTAATAGGGAAGAAATATCATGAGATAACTTGTTGCAATAGTGTCATCTTATTAGAGTACCACACTCAATTTTAATGAGCTCTTTAGAACCATCAATTCTTTCACAAATGTTTGTAAAAGTAAACTGCATGGCTAGGAACTGGATTTTATGCACCTATGGTGGGACTACCTGAAAATACCTGAAATCAGAGATTTATACCTAATTATCTAATGTTACCTGACTGTGGCCTGCTGGAGGTGTTTTGAAAATAACAATTAAGAGCCAAACACCATTCCATGGAGTAGTCTGATATAGATGTGACCTTATCTATAAAACTTGACATAGACTTTTGCGGGAAATCTATGTCCTAATTGACATAACCAGAAACTCCTTTTATCCCTACATCTTCCCGTCACTCAAGTTGTTGTGGTATGTGTTGACGTGACATGTAGTCAAGTTTGTGTTTCAGCTTAGCTCAGCGTGTGAGCAGGCGATGACATGGCTGCCAGAAAGCAGCAGGGGTTTGAGTCCTGCTTTCTTGTCCATCTCTATTGTCTCTATTCAATATAGGGCAAATGTCAGTCAAATATTTTTTTAAAAAAGAAGGTTGCAGCATAGGGTTAAAATAGGGTTCGACATTTGCGTTATGGCATTAGTTACTACATAGATCTGACGATTCATCTGTTAATGTGACAGTCTGTTAATGTGACAGTCTTCAGAAAAGAGGTTTGTGAATTGCCAAGGAAAAGTCAGTCATCATCAGTAAAAGGCTTATCCTAAAGTACAGTGGAACCCCAACTTAAGAAATTAATTTGTTCCCGAGGGTCTTTCGTAAGTCGAAAGTTTTTGTAAGTCGAAGCACCCATTGCGCCTTTTGAGTGAACGATAGGCTATAGGCTAATTGCTAACTGCAACAACAATACGTCGTTCAAGTGGAACAGCGAAGCGCAAGTACGAAAGCCAAGGGGGTTGTCACATGATTCGGAAGGCATTGTGGGCATTGTAGGCATTCTGGGCTCAGCCAATCAGAGCCAGCGGATTTCGTTACGCAGGCATTTTGCCGTTAAGTGCCTTCATAACTTGAATTTTTCGTTAAATGGGGTATTCGTAAGTTGGGGTTCCACTTTATTAATATCTTTTTAATATCTTTATTTTCTTGGATGGCTACTGCTACTGGCTCAGTGAAGACAACAAGAAGTGAAGGGGAGAGTAGGCCACCGAGCTTGGTGCCCTTGTGCAGACTGAAGCTTTTGTCTTAACACATGCATTTGGAGAGCTTTGTAGTGTTTTGTTCCAGTCTATGAAGGAAGAACCAAATCCAAATTTGCACAGAATTGCAACTCACTCTCTCTCACTTTTCTCCTACCCCTCCACACCTGTCAGCTCTGGCTATGCATATATTAATGTGAATAATACTATAAATAAATGAAATGAAACAAAAAGAAAAAAGACAAATGAGGAACTTTATCGAAGTCCTCCTAGCAAAGAAAATGTGTTTAGTGTATGTCTAGTTCTCTGGCTATTAATTTTACTGCATACAATATACTTTTCACTGTTGGGTATGAAAACTGACTGGGCCATTCCGAGCCAATTAGAGACAGCTGTTAAATATCAGTTTGCTATTCCAGAAGAACTTTTTATAGCCATTTTTAGTCAGATTGTTCAATTAAGTGACCAGGGTCCAGTTTTCTTTATTCAACTTGACAGGTGTGTTTTTAATCTTGTTTTACTCATTATTTTGAAGTAAGATTCAGATTTTTTAAAAAAGTGAAGTTTTAAGTAGTTTTAAACAACGGGATTGAGTTGCTTTACTTTAGTGCTTTGAGCTAATGGCAATGTTAGCATGGCAATAATTTATACACATAAAATAATAAAATGTCTTCATCTTTAAGACAACAATATACAAACATTACTTTCTTAGCTTTTTTTTAGATAAAACGTGATTTTTTTTTATAAAATTAAGCAATTTTTTGCAATTTGTTTAATTCACCAATTTTTGTGTGTGACTTCCCATATGGAAAAGATATAAATATATCTTATAAAGTTTGTATCTGTCTTGTGTGAAACTTGTATGGAAAAGCATATAAGAGTGAAAACAGATATAAGATCCCTTGAAAAATTATATAATGAAATTTGTATGTTTTGGATACTTACTAAAACTGTAGCAGCCCATGGCATCAAGAACGACAGAAGGTGCAGCCATTTATTTCCTCACCACACACGGCTCATTCTCTGGACGTTGAGCACCGTGAAAACTATAAAATAAGAAAAAATTGATACCCGTACAGTACTTTTTGAACTATAACAATGAGCAATAACAACAATGAGCTTAAGTTAATTCAGGCAAGTTCAAACAAGTAATTCTGAGATATACAGTCACAGATTAAATAAAACAAAAGGGATTACTTCAAACAGCATCAAGGGATTACACAGTTCAGTTAAATAAAATATAACAACAGATCATCTCTCATCACATACCTCAGTCCGCTTGCCAAGGGTGCAAAACTCCGGTAAACACTTAAACACTTCGGCCCGTTTCTCATGGGGTGCTGCTAGCTTGCATGACACACATGTCTAGCTAAAAAATAGCACATGGATGTAAGTAACGTAAATACAGAATAAAAAGGTTTTCAGATAGCTCACAATACAAATGCAGCAACATACCTTACATTAGAAACACACTTATCATACTTATCAAAGTATTATCGTAACTTACATGGACTTTGTACAACTTATTCCTGCCGCGACAGACTGCTCTATACGCGTTACGGGGCATGCCTCTGAGCACATCTTTCCTTAGTGCGACTGCGCATACAGTTTCGACAACCCCCGCAAGGATGACTTATGGTACAGATCAGCGGTTCATTACACTCCCACCAATCATGCTATGATTTACAAACTAGCTAATCATACATGATTTGAACAACAACAAAATGAGACCACTTCAACCAATATACAGGTGTACAAACATCATAGAGCAGGTGCCACCTGGACTGTTACATTGTTTATGTCAGTATGTCAGTTCCTCTCAGATAATAACATGGTTGTTATTATTCTCTTTCAACAAGAACCACCAGTTTTTGAATAGGCCGCTCGATGATGGGGGGCTTGAAAGCACGGTCCTGTTTCTTGGTCTGACTTTGGACTCCTACTTGAACTTTGACCCGACGGACTAAACCATCATCGCCTTCGATAGTTTCAACGATACGCCCCAGTTGCCACTGACACCTTGGTAACATATCTTCCTTGATGATAACAATGTCATTCACTTTTAGATTACGGCGGGTTTTGTGCCACTTCTGTCTTGTGGAGACATTCATGAGGTATTCTCTTTTCCACCTACCCCAGAACTGCTCAGTTAAGTATTGTACTCTACGCCACCTCTTCGCTGCATACAAGTCTTCTCTCACAAATTTCCCAGGTGGTGGTAGAGCAACTTTGGACTTCATCAGTATAAGATGGTTCGGAGTAAGAGGTTCAGGTGCCTTTGGGTCACAGATACTGCCCACAGTCAAGGGGCGGCTATTTACAATAGCCATGGCCTCATAAAACAAAGTTCTAAGAGAGGCATCGTCTAGTCTTCCTGCACACTGAGCAGTAGTGGCATTTAGCACATTACGAATGGTTCTAATTTGGCGTTCCCAGATGCCACCAGCATGACTTGCAGAAGGAGCATTGAAAACAAACTCACACTGTTTGTCTGCCAGGAAAGCCTCCAGTGCCTGCATGTCACATTGTTTGAGAGCCTCTCTGAACTCATTTCTGGCTCCTACAAAGTTTGTGCCTTGGTCACAGCGGAGTTGGCAAACAGCTCCTCTGAGGCTGATGAAGCATCTAAGGGCATTGATGAATGCATCTGTTGATAGGTCTTCTAGCATCTCGATATGAACAGCACGTGAAGACAGGCATGTAAAGATAAGCCCATACCTTTTGTACTCCTTACGGCCCCGCTTGATGGAAAATGGACCAAAGCAATCCATACCAGAGTAGAGAAAGGAGCGGAGGCTTCAGTCCTTTCTTTCGGGAGCTCTGCCATGCGTTGCTCCTGGTGGGCGGAAGTTCCATAGGAGGGTTTACGAGCCGTAAGTTTTCGTACATTGCGACGAGCATTTATGTACTAGAATGAACTTGGGTGCAATAAACCCACTGGGCCAGGACAGTCTTGCCATTTTATACTTGCACTCTGCTCCCAAGCACCCAAAACCCATTTGCTCTGAGTTCTGCTAGGGTTTGACTGCGACCCTGATGACAGATGGTGGCATGGTAATGAGACAGTATTAGTCTTGTAATGTGACTTTCCTTTGGAAGGATAACCGGGTGTTTTAGTTCTCGACTGAGCGTTGCCTTTGTCAGTCTTCCACCGACACGAAGAAGTCCTTCATCTAAGATGGGATCAAGACAACTTAGGGGGCTAGAGCATGGAAGAGAGTTGCCCTTCTGAAGTGTCTTTATGTCTTGCAAAAAGGCTTGTCGCTGAACCAGACTGATTACT